CGATATTTCAAAAACCAGTAAATCTAGGGTTTTAACAACGATTTTTGCAAGTAGTAGGAAAAAGATTTATAAAAAGCCATCACATTGGTTTTTACGACGTTGCTGCTAAGAGATAAACAGCGTGTGAAAATCCATATCAGATGTGTAAAAATTCATATCAAAAGTTTTTCTTCAGTTGTTAGTTCTGTTTTTTGTTTTGAGCCACTGTTGCTTTGTTTACGTTGATATAATTCGTGCATACATTATTTGTTTTATAAGATGAATTATTATTTCTAAGTTAGATTCAACAGTTTTTTTATATAAACTCTATAAGAGCTTACACGTAATTGAGGTAAACAACTGAATATTTACCCTAGCAAGGTGTAAACAATAAAAAATAGTAAATAAAAAGCATATTAAATAAAAAAGCTATCTTACAAGAGATGAATTAAATAAATAGTTATTTCAACTAAGGTGATGAATATTTGTGATAAAATACCAGATTAAGCTTATTTACAGAGTTTTCTCTTTAAAAAATGTATCCATGAAATCTATATTTTCATTGGTTGAAAAAAGTAGCTATTATTTTGTAAATTTTTTCTAAATTAAAATAAGACATTGACCGTCCGAAAACAGCAAAAAACTCATTTCTATAATGATAAATTGGCTGGGAGTTTACTGAACATAGTCAAATAGCTTTTTTTTTGCTGCGTGTTATTTGTTGTCATTATTCGTGTGGTTTTCAAATTATTGTTCAAAGTCAAATTGGACCTTTGTGCCCCGCCCTACCATATATACACACACATATATATATATATATATATATATATATATATATATATAAACGAGAGTAAAAAACAAAAAATCAAGAAACAAATATAATTAACTTAGATACAGAATTACAGATATAATGGCATATAAATTAACGTCCTTCTCGTAAATATTTAAGAGGCTTTTTCAACAAAATTATTCAAAGCATACTGGTTGGTGCCGAATATGAAAATATTATTCTATACTAATATACATAGATACATTTTCATGATGATATGATAAACTCCAAAATTAATTTTTTTTTTGTAAAACTTCACAAAAGTCTTCAAAATTGCATAGTTTTATGATGTATTAAACATATTGCTAGAATATATTGTTCATTTTTTTTCTGTTGGAGATCTAATAAACAAAGAAAATGTACATGCTTAAATAAATTAATAAAAAATTTAGAGAAAGTTATTATTAATAAAAAGAATATAACAATCTGTACTTTATACTTACCACTGTCCTAACAGCTAATTCGAATGTAAACCAAATATTACAAACTAATTCCACGTAAAAAAATGCTTCGTGCGGTTGCCCATAATTTTCTTGCCAATCGTCATCCTCATATCGATATCTGAAACCAATGTAGGCAAAATTCAATTAGATAAACTAATCACATAAATTATTTTGTCGTTTTCACAAACTTTTAAAAATAAAATCGAATGCTTGAAAAAAAAGTATGCATCGAACATAAATCTTTTTAAATGTAATTCTCATGCATGGTGACTAAACAAAATAATTTGTATTTGCGTTACAGAAAAAATTGCACGTTATCTACTGTTAGTATAAATATATAAGAAGTTCTACTATTTATTTACCATTATTTTAAACATCATTCTAATAAATTAATGGGATTTTGAAGGGTCTTAATTTGTAATTAGTTTTATAGTGCTTTCAATTACTAACCGTACTAAGGAGAGAGAAAATTATTAAACGCTCGCCGAATGAAATAAGAAAATCTTCTCACAATTCGAAGACGAAAGAACAATGTGATGAACTGTATAAAATATTAAAAAAGAATTTTTTGATTGTAGTTACAAATTGTTTGTGATTAAATAGTTAAAAAAAAAATTAATGTATGAGAAGTAGCGTAAAAAGTGCGATGATAAGTAGCAACACGTTTATTTCATGACTTGAAATATAATAACTCATTATGAAATGCATTTTATAACTCTTACAAACTTTGAATATTTTTTGAACTTTTAATATAGTTTAATTAAAAGCAACATTTCTAGTGGTGAATAGAATTTTGCTTTAAGGCAAGTTGTATGAAGTTCTCGATATGTATACATCAACTTCATCAATAAGATATTGAAATCCAGCTTGTTAGGTAAAATGTTCTACTGTTCTTTATAAAAATAAATTTAACTGTTCTTTTTAAAAAATAACACATATAATTTTTATCTATTTCATGTGCTAAACATGTATTTTATTTATGTGTGTACGTCAATTATAATTAGTAGCTTACAATAAGTACGAAATACGAAACGTGTTTTTGGTTCGGCAAAGATTCTGATTAGAATCGCGCGGCGAAATTCTAAGGCTTCATAAATTTTTATAATAGAACCGCATGTCATATGTCAATAATATTTTAGTATGTTATTTTAGACTTCGAAATCTACCGTTATGCAAAGGCTCATCAAAATAGTAAAAAAAAATTAAGATTTAATCATGAAGAAACGGCCCGGCCGATCTTTGCCAGAAACTAATCAGCACGTTTCCAACCAATCTTTCGATGAGGTTTTGAATTTTTAAAATCAATTTAAGATTGTGGGCTAAAATGTGTGTGAAAAAGTTATACACTTTCATGCTATTAGAATCACTTAGCTAAATTTTTATATAAATTACAACCTGTATATAGAGAAAGACATTGAGTAACCCAGTAGGTTTACCTTTTAATAATGTACTAGATTATGTCTAAATTTAGTTTTTGTATTATAAAGAAAAAAAAGAAAGTATAATATATATATATGTATATATATATATATATATATATATATATAATATATACAATTATAAACATAGTTCATTCCACAGACTACACATACACATACACACATTTACCATAGGTAATATGGTGAAATTCAGTAATATGTTAAATTAAACTAAATGTGCATATTTTTACGATTCAAATTGTCTAGTTGAATTATATTTAAAAATATATTGGCAATCAAAACATTTTTAAAAATCCGGAACAATCCGGGATAAATCACCCAAAACCGGGACAAATATTGCTTGCGGGACGCAAGGCGGAAAATCGGGAATGTCCCGGCCAATCCGGGGCATATGGTCACCTTAATTAAATGCCTTCTTTTTAGTCTTATAATATAAGTGGTGTTATGAAGACTAGCTATAAGTTCATTTGGATTTTGGTCAATTTTGAATTTGTAGTTAAGGGCACTCCTTTTAATTATTTCTCTGATGACGACAGTATCGGTGTCTTGATGAATCAACCATATACTACTATATCATTGGCCAATTGATGCGAAAACTACATAAACGTTAGTCTTTATTGAGTTTTTAAATTTTGGGCATCAGTCCAAGCGTTGAGAAATCGTCGACGAAAGGTCAAAAATCGGCTCACACATACTTTTTCCAAATTTAGTCTCCAACGATTAAGAATAACTTGAAACGTCAAAAAACATGAAATTTTGCGCAAAACGGATTTTCTTGCAAAAACAAAACTTCACCTTTGGTAAGTTAATAAGTGGATATTATCTTAAAGCTGTGGGCAATCATTTACAACGTAATTACCTAGAACTTCCGCTGGATCCATGTCTGTTACTCCTTATGGGTGGCGGCGGTTGTGTCGTGACAGGAACAATAGTTGTTGTAATTAGTGAGTTGTTGGCACTGGCATTGATGCTTGTAGGTATAGGAACACGAAGGCCTGGATGAGTCTTCAGGCAAAACGATAAGACTGATGTAAATATGAAGAACACTGATATCACGGCTACTACCTGAAATAATAATAATAGAGATGAAATTAAAGAAAATATTCGATAAATATAGATAATTGAATTATTTAGTTCATGTAGACGTTTGGTGCTCTACTGCTTTTTAAAGACATAAAAAATTATGGCTAATTAACTTTATCCAATAAATTGTATCTAATAGTGATAACCCATTGGGGTTACTACGATCGATAATCATATGCAAATAATGAATATTAAAATATTTTATAGAATTTATTTATGCTTTGAAGGTTATTAATAAAAAGAGAACAAACGTAGACGTTAACCGGTTATTAAGAATGTATTTCTTGTATTCTTGGGGTATTCTAGTAGAGGCATGAATTTCATAAGAATTGTGAAAGGCCGTGGAAACAAAAACATTATATTTGCTATTCATTTTATATTGGTTGTTAATTAATGTTTTAATCATACAGAAAAAAACAAAAATTAAAAACTGGCTCAAAATTTGCACGTGACCATACCACTTGTTTTTAGCTCCCCTTATAATCCTAATAGAAAACTCAAAAAGTTTATTTATCTAGAACAATGTCACATTTGTGTAAACTACGGACAAGTTAGAAATAAATCACAAAATACCGCCTGCCGAAAAAAAAAATCACAACATTTTGATATTATCAAATTAATAATTAATTAGTAAAAATCAAAACTAATCTCAAATCTAATTAGTAAAAATCAAAACTAATATCAAACTAATAATTAAATAGTAAAAATCAAAACTGGGTGATGATCATTTCATACTGGTAAAAAGTGTATAGAGAAAACACTAAGAATTTCAAGTAAATCGATCCAGTAGAAGTTGAAAAAATGTGGGTATCTTTTCGAAAAAACGCGTTCGAAGTATCGACGAAGATTATTGTTATCAAACAGCTACTCATTTTTTAATACATCTCCCATAATAATTTAAATTTTGAAAAATCTTCTGATACACATATTCTTGAATAGTTTAACTTTGCAAACAAATATTGTTATATACAAACTAAAAGTTGATTAACATTTAAATTACAAAAATTCATTTATTTCACAATTTCACAATAATTAACTGATATATAACTGATAGCATAACTGATTATTATTTAAAATGAACTTTCATATATAATAATCATAAATGAGACACTTGTGCACGATTTTGTAAATATTGGTAAGGATATTTCTCATCCCATGTAGTGATCTTGCTTCTTATGTTATTGATAAAATATTTCTATTCGCAGAATAGACCTTTCAAGTTTTTTGTTTGGTTTTAAACAGTAATCAGAATTCTAGTAATTTATTATGTTATTTTTATTTATATTTATTGTGTTATTTATTTCTACTAATAACTTATTATAATTTGAAGATTTTTATTGATCAGACGTTATTGATCTATATTTTCCAGCAGAAATAGATATCACTACTGCATGCAAGTAGTACTTTGTTGTCTTTTCAAATATATAGGGCATTATATTACATTTTTATAACAATATACATAATTTCTATAAAATTGGTTTGCGAAGTTTCGATGTGTCAATTTTGATATAGAAGCTATACCACGTTTAGAAGTGTTGACAAAAGTTAACACGCAAGTTAGAAAAAATAATTATTTAAAATGAATTGAAGATATAATGTTCTACTAAAACACACTATGAGAAAAAATTTAATAGCTTTGTTTGACTTAAGATTTTATTCGTTACAATTTTATGTTCTAACAAAGATATCAAAATATATCGTATTCCGAAATATTACAAAATAAAAATTATGCCGATCGGGAAATATGATATGACAGAAAGAAAATAAACAAGTTATGAAAAATCCATTCTTCGTGAACCAGAGGTAGTATATTTTACACATTTACTCTTTATGAAATCACTCTTTCGATATAACAGAAGACCGGGTTGAAATTTTAAGCGTTATAGACAATGTGGCATAAAAAGGCTTAAAAATATAAACTCTGACTTGAAATAAAATCAGTAACTGAATCAGTTACTACACTCAAATTGTAATTTATACCTTGTTTATTTAAATCACAATATTTTTGCTATCATCTATATTAAATTTTAAAATTAGAATCTATATGGCAAGGTAAATTTATCATTGCTTTTCTACACACAATTTTATAACAATTTGTTTACATTTTGAAAGATGCAATTTTGGAATTTTGTTATAAAAAATTAAAATCAAAAGATATGGAATCTTAATAATTGTGTAGAATTTCTAAATGGCAAAAATAATTTTACAGATGGGTTCTACCCAACTATAATTGCTTGCAAATACATTGTAAGGAACTAGAAGGACAAAGAATAATAAATGACTAACAGAATGAATAAACTACAATGTTGTCGATAAATAATAAAATATACTGCGTAATTTATATATAGGCTGTTTTATATATAATTGATAATAATAAATACGAACCAAGCACGTAATAATAAATCTAATACTTAATACTTTCTTCTGCGAGAATAATGTATATAAAAAATGATTTGATAAAAATTGGACATTGAATCTCAATAAAAGCTTGTGATTTGAATGTGGTTTCATTTTATAACAAAATTTCCATGCACTGATTCAGAGTCGATTTCATTGGAAAAGTCTTCATCAATTGCAATATTTAATATATTTCATTTTGCTATTCTAAAACTGACTTAAATGCATAATATAAAGTCGTTTTGTCTTGCTAAAATTTTCTCTGGCTTAGTTAGAGATCAAGTGATATAAATTAGTGTCATATAAAATTATAATTGGAAACACTGTAGGAGCTACTGTGTTAACAGTGATAATTAATCACCTGTGTGCATGTAAAATTTATTATATGATGAAACCAGATATTATAATTAACACTGTCACTATCATAATATCTACTTGTTAATATCCTACAAAGTAAGTTGATGAAATACGAAAAAAACTCAAAATGATATATATAATTTTAATATTAAGTTCAACGTGAAATAAAAACTTTAATTTAAAACTATTGGGTTGGTTTTAAATTCAAAAACAATATTTCGTGTGACTTGATGAAATAAACTTGTTTAAAGTGTCTATATTATTCTTATCATCAGAACTTAAAAAAATGATTTTATTAATGATAATAAATATTTAGATTTTATTAATGATAATAAATATTTAGATTTTAATTTTTACTCCTACTTATATACCTTAAAATAACCTTTTATGCGGTTGGAAATGCAAAACATTGTCTATGGTAAAGCTATAGAACATCTTCTCTGTGTTTCAACTTCTCAACTTCCCAAAGGAGAAGTTTATTTTTTTACTACGAAATCGGTTTTGCTCGACTTTTCAAGTGATTCTGAATTATTTGTAACAAAAAACTTAAAAAGGTTTGTTTGTGTATGCATTTCGCCGACTATTTCTCTATAACTGTTGAACCAATTTCAAAACTTCAGACAATTCAGATATGATTTGGATTGATTAGTTTTACGCGAAGGTTAATTTAGTCGAGCCATTTTTATTTAATTACGAGTTAAATACTCAATTGTTCGTGATCGTTTACAAAAATCTTGAGAATTCAAAAACTCTCGAAAGGTAGTTAGAACGATTAGATTTTGATAAGTTGAAATCAAGAAGAGAAAATTAGAATTTCAGTTTTGGACTCCGACTATTGATATAAAAATAAATTTATATTAAATTTTCCAAGTTTCGGAACTAAAAACATTATTTCATCAAAATATCAAAATATTTCTGTATCCCCATTTGTGTCAATAATAGTTTTACTAGAATCAATATCTATGCATATTAGCATATCTATTTTAGAAACAGTCTACTAATCTAATTAGCTATTATTACCATTTGTCATAATAAGTATAAATTTTAATGATGAAAAGAGAAGGTGCAAATTATTTTGATCTGCAGTTGTATCATATTTCACGGACATATTAAATATAAATAGAAAACATTTTCAACATCATTAATTTAAATGTGCTTGGTTTATAATTAATATTCATTTCTCGTGGATTGAAGTATTATGCGTTTTACTTCTGCGACTGCACTGCTTTTTACTTCTCCCATCATAATTTATGTTTTAAATCGTATTTATAAAAAGTACTTGTAATAAATAATAAGCATGTATTTATTATGGCCTTGGGAAATATATTTTTAACTTCCCAAAGAAGTTTATGTTTTCGTCAAAAAATCCGATTCGCTAATTTTATGTTTTCTCGACGTTTCAAGCCATTCTGAATCGAATGAGACCAAATTTGGAAAAAGTATGTGTGTGTGTGCGTGTGTGTGAACAGATATTTTGCCGTAAATCGACGTTTTCTCAAAAACGGTTGGACCGATTTCAAAATTTTAAAAGTTTTGATGTATTCAAGCTTTCGTATTTCGATGAGAACTAGCGTTTCTGAGTTTTGTGTGACGATCGGCCGAACCGTTTCTTTGTAATTTGAAAAAAGGGTTAAACTTTTTGTCCATATTTAGGCTGAAACTACCGAATCGATTTTAATAAATCAAAAACAGTTCGAAAGATATTAGTTGGGAATGATGCTCATTACTTTTAGGTGAAAATCTACTGAGCCGTTTTATTGTAATTAACTGTTGAAGAAAAATTTAAGCCAATTTTTATGGAATTTTTTTGGCGATATATATCATGGTCTTATAGAACTCACTGAAATATTACGGCCTTACGACAAATAGTTTAATTTTAAAAATGCAACAAAGTTTGAGAAAATGAGTAGTTTTTTTAACTTTGTTCAAATTAAAATTAGACGATTTACTTGGTATAACGATAGAGTACTTGATCTTAATGGACATACTAAACCATTAAAGTCCGGAAACTGGTTCAATTATAATAATGGTTGATTTTTCAAAATTTGCTCTTAGAAAATATTCCAAGTTAACATATTTGTTCGTTTTCAATTATGTGTAATAATTCGACTTGGAATACTTTTATTCACTCATAAATTAATTTATATTTTATTGATTAAGTCGATTATTTACACATATCCGGAAGTTCATGTAACTTGCTTCAAGACTAACTAGTTAAGTTTAAAGCT